GGGTGGACAGGGCCCCTGGGCTAGCCAGAAAATCAGGGTTCCACCTTCTGGATCTGCTAGGCCTGCACTCACCTGCCATACAGGCATTCACCAGGGACACACAGGCTCCCGTGAAGAGTGCCCGGAGCACTATCTGGGAGAAGTCGCTCTTCCGTTGGGGGACCATGGAGGCTGTAAGGGGACAGAAGTGCTCAGGGCCAGGGAAGCTATGTCCCTATCTGCCCATGTTCTGCAGCTCTGGCTGCATCGCTGATCTCCCTTCCTCTTCTACTAATAGATGGCCAGAGGGACAGACGTCGTCCTCCTGACCACTTGCTGAGCTCAGGAGTCCTCTTTGGCTTGGACCCCTAGGCAATGCCCCACATCTCCCCACACACCATGAGTGGCAGATGCAGGAAAAGAATGTGAGTTTGGAGTCAGGCAGACCTGGGATTAAACACAGGCTCAGCCACTCACTAGCTGAGAGACTTGGGCTACCTCTTCACTTCTCCAAGACTCTGTTTCCTTCTTTGTAAAATGGTATGATTACACCACCAGGCAGGGTAGCTGCCAGGAGTGGAAATGTTATCTGTAAAGAACTGAGAACTGTGCAGACCCTTTTGACCCTACACCCCACCAGGCCTGCCTGCCTGTCCCCTGTGGGTGTGGGAACAGGCAGGCCAAAGCCTTGGGGACAGGCCAGCACCACACCTCCTGTCCCTGACCTAGGCTTGGCCTTCAAGGCCCAGGTGCTAACTTCCTGGGCCACCAGCAGCAGCAGAGAATCAGGGAATTCTAGGGCTAGGAGGAAACTCTATGAAATTTTTTTTTTTTTTGAGACAGAGTCTCACTCTGTAGCCCAGGCTGGAGTGCAGTGGTGCGATCTCAGCTCACTGCAATCTCCCCTCCTGGGTTCAAGCATTCTCGTGCCTGGGTTCAGCCTCCTGTGTAGCTGGGATCACAGGCACGCACCACCACACCTGGTTAATTTTTGTATTTTTAGTAGAGATGGGTTTTGCCATGTTGGCCAGGCTGGTCTCAGACTCCTGACCTCAAGTGATCCACCTGCCTGGGCCTCCTAAAGTGCTGGGATTACAGGCATGAGCCACCACACGTGGCCTCTATGGCCATCTTGTTTGGGTCTGGCTTTAGACAAATGAGACACCTGAGGCCTACATGTTCCCAGCAAGTTCAAGTCTCTGACTCTCCTAGACACTGGTAAGGCCCCGATTAGACTCACTCAAGCCTCCCAGCATGATCCCAATGGAGCTGAAATTGGCAAATCCACAGAGGGCAAACGTCGTGAGGACTTCAGCTCTGACCTGAAAATACAGAAGATGCATGAGGAGGGACTCCCTTCAGATGGGCCTGGGGCACCCCTACAACACCCAGGCTCCCTGGCCTTAACTTTATCCACTTCTTACATGTAATTGACCTTCAAGCCCACTGTGCTGCCCCTTCCCCAGCCTTGTGATTCCCACCTCTAAGTTGATTCAAACCACACCACATCAAAAACGTAGCCCTCCTCTCTTATCTATCCTTCAACCTTTTTTTTTTGAGACAGTTTTACTCTTGTCACCCAGTCTGGAGTGCAGTGGTGCAATCTCAGCCCACTGCAACCTCTGCTTCCTGGGTTCAAGAAATTCTCCTGCCTCAGCCTCCCACGTAGCTGGGATGATAGGTGCCTGCCACCACGCCTGGCTAATTTTTTGTATTTTTAGTAGAGACAGGGTTTCACCACGTTGGGCAGGCTGGTGTCAAACTCCTGATTTCAGATGATCTGCCCACCTCGGCCTCCCAAAGTGCTGGGATTACAGGTGTGAGCTACCACACCCAGCCTGTCCTTCAACTTTTTTTTTTTTTTTGAGACGGAGTCTTGCTCTGTCGCCCAGGCTGGAATGCAGTAGCTGGATCTTAGCTCACTGCAAGCTCCGCCTCCCGGGTTTACGCCATTCTCCTGCCTCAGCCTCCCGAGTAGCTAGGACTACAGGTGCCCGCCACCTCGCCCGGCTAGTTTTTTGTATTTTTTAGTAGAGACGGGGTTTCACCGTGTTAGCCAGGATGGTCTCGATCTCCTGACCTCGTGATCCGCCCGTCTCAGCCTCCCAAAGTGCTGGGATTACAGGCTTGAGCCACCGCGCCCGGCCCCTTCAACCTTTTAATCTTCATTACCAGCCTTTCTGGATGGGGTTCAGCCTTTCTTAGTCCTCTTGCTTTGGCCCTACTAAGCTCTGTCCTGGGGCCATTTGGTGGACAGCCCCTTCCCTGACCCTGCAGTCCTGGGCTTCCAGTTCACAGCATTCCTGTGAATGCTCTCAGGCTGAGAGAGAGAGTGTGGTGCACAGGAAAGAGTAAGGGATTTGGACCCCAGCCAGCCTGGTTTCTAGGATTGTCTCACCAACGATCAGCTTGAGCAAGTCAGTTACTTCTTTCAGTGTCAGTTTCCCTGTCTGGAATAGGGGAATAATAGTACTTGCATGAGAGGGCTGTAAAAAGGATTATATAATGTATGGGAAACACCAGACAGAGAGTTAGTGTTTAAACATGATAGTTATTCCTTTTGTTCTTAACAACTGTCCTATTTCCCAGAAAGAAGTTTTAAGAGCCAAAATGAAAAAATTCAAAAACAAAATTGGTTTATGAGTACAAAAAAATAGAATGGAACGAATAAGAGCTAATATTTTATAGCACAACAAGGTGACTATAGTCAATAATGACTTAATTGTACATTTAAAAATAACTAAGAGTATAATTGGATTGTTTGTAACACGAAGTATAAATGCTTGAGGGGATGGATACCCCATTCTCCATGATGTGCTTATTTCACATTGTGTGCCGGTATCAAAGCATCTCAGGTACCTCATAAATATATACACCTACTATGTACCTACATAAATTAAAAATTATTTTAAAAAATTGGTATAGAGCCTCCCCTCACACTATATAAAAATTAATTCTCGATAAATATTAATATTTTAAGCATAAAATGATAGAAAATATAGGATAATAAATAGAACTACAAGGTAGTATTATTACTCTTATTTTGGAGAGGAGCAAACCGAGGCTCAGAGAAGTTAACTAACTAAGGAAGTTCACACAGCAAGAAGGTAGTTGTATCAGAATTTGAACTCAGTTCTGACTCTAAAGCTCATGGTCTGAATTATCTCATCACATTATTTCAGCAATTTAACACTTTCCAGATAACTTTCTTTTTCTTTCTTTCCTTTTTTTGAAAACTTCTGCCTCCTGGGTTCAAGCGATTGTCATGCTTCAGCCTCCCAAGTAGCTGGGATTACAGGTGTGTGTTACCACACCTGGCTAAGTTTTGTATTTCTTGTTTTGCCAAACATTTTTTGTTTGCCATGTTGGCCAGGCTGGTCTCAAACTCCTGGCATCAAGTGACCCACCCTCCTTGGCCTCCCAAAGTGTTGGAATTATAGGCATGAGCCACCGTGCCCAGTTGCACTTTCCAGATAACTTTCTAAGTTTAGAAATAATGGAAGAAATCACAAAAGAAAAGATTTGGTATAAAATCTGTGTTAAAAAAACAAATCCCAAAAGCTGGGTCAAGTGAGAGCTGACAGGCACTGGGTGACTTTGTGCCTCACTGAGGAAAAATAACTAAACATGGGCAGAGGAGACCCTAAGAAGCCAAGAGACAAAATGTCATCATATGTACTCCTTGTCCAAGCTTGTTGGGAGGGGCACAAGAAGCAGCACCCAGATGCTTCAGACAACTCCTCAGAGCTTTCAAAGAAGTGCCATGTCAGCTAAAGAGAAAAGAAAATTTGAAGATGTGGCAAAGGCAGACAAGGCTGGCTAGGAAAGAGAAATTAAAACTTACATCCTTCCTAAAGGGTAAAACAAAAGAAGTTCCAGCATCCCAACACACCCAAGAGGTCTCCTTTGGCCTCTTGTTCTATTCCATGCATCACCAAAAATCAAAGAACATCCCAGCCTATCTGTTAGTGATGTTGCAAAGAAAGTAGGAGAGATGTAGTTATAAAACCACTGGGGAGGATAAGCAGCCTTAGAAAAAGACACCTGTGAAGCTGGAAGAAAAATGCAAAAGGGATATTGCTGCATACCGAGCTAAAGGAAAGCCTGATGCAGCAAAAATAAGGGAGCTGTCAAGGCTGAAAAAGCAAGAAAAAGAAAGGAGAAACAGGAGAAAGAGGAAGAAGATGAGGAGGAAGGAAAGATGGGGAAGATGAAGATGATGAATAAGCTAGTTCTAGTAGTTTTTTTCTTGTATATAATGTGTTTAAACTCCCCCATACTAAATTCATTCCTTTTAAAGAAATACATTAAAATGTAAGGCCATGTAAGATTTGTTTTTAAACCATACAGTGTCTTTTTTTTTGTATAGTTAACATACTACCTAATGTGTCTTTAGGTAACCCTATCCTGGTGGTATTTTCAATAGCCACCAACCTTGCCTGGTGCAGTATGGGGGTTATAAATTGGCATGGAAATTTAAAGCAGGCTCTTGTTGGTGTGCAGCATAAATTAGTTATGTATGTGGATGGTAGTGCCTTCATCTTTAGTCGTCTCTGATGCAACTTACACAAAATAATTGCTGTTCTGTTAACTAAATACCACTTGGGCTGGGCGTGGTGGCTCATGCCTATAATCCCAGCACTTTGGGAGGCCAAGGCAGAAGGATCGCTTGAGGTCAGGAGTTTGAGACCAACTTGGGCAACATGGTGAGACCCCATCTCTACAAAAAAAGCAAAAGTTAGCCAGGTGTGGTGGCACATGTCTGTAGTCCCAGTTACACAGGGGCTGAGGCAGGAGGATCACTTGAGCCCAGGAGGCAGAGGCTATAGTGAGCCGTAATTGCACCACCGCACTCCAGCCTGGGTAACAGAATGAAACCCTGTCTCCAAAAATACAGACATACATACATACATACATACATACTTTGTAATTTTTATAAAAGTTACAGCTGTTTTGTTGACATTCTGAATGTTTCTAAGTAAATACAATTTTTTTTAATTAAAAAAAACCAACAAATTCCTGTGCTTGCATCTTGTGCACATATACTAAAACTTCGATGATACAAAGATTAGTATGGCCCCTGCCGAGGTTGACACACAAACTCATGAAGTGTTCTACATTTAAAAACCAAAAAATAAATTTCTGTATACAACATAAACGACAAAAAAGGAAAAGTATATGTAGAAAATATAACAGAAAAAAGTTAATGTCTTTATAACATAAAGAGTTGATATAAATATTATTGAAAAAATATGAAGGCACCTGCCTCTCTGCTTGCCCACCTACAATTGCGTTCCACAGAACAGCCCCAGCCTCCCTCCCTCGCTCCCTTCCTTCCCTCTCGCTGTCCTCCTTCCTCCCTCCCTCCCTCCCTTTCTTCCTTCCTTCCTTCTCTCTGTCGTTTGTTTTGAGACAGGGTCTCACTCTGTCACCTAGGCTAGAGTGCAGTGGCAAAATCATAGCTCACTACAGCCCCAATCTCCTGGGTCCAAGCGAGCCTCCTGCCTCAGTGTCCCAAGTAGCTGAGACCACAGGCGTGCACCACCACACCTAGTTAATTTTTAAATTTTTTGTAGAGACAGGGTCTTGCTTTGTTTCCAGGGCTGGTCTTGAACTCCTGGTCTTAAGTGATCCTTCTGCCTTAGCCTCCCAAAGTGCTGGGATTACACCCAGCCTCCAGTCATCTTCTTAAAATTCAAAATGTCAAATCTTCAGTGATTTCCGACTGCTCCTTGGCCTGTGAATTACCACCTGCTCTAGCTGTACTGATTGCCTCTGCTCTCTAAGCATACAGAGTGCTTTTCAACCTCAGAGCCTTTGTACATGCCTCTTCATTTGGAATGTTTTTCCCAGCTTGTCCTAGCTTATCCGTTCTCCAAGTTGGCTTAAATGCCACACCTCAGGGATATTTTTTCTGACCAGTCCAGCCAAGGAAGACCTGCCCTGTTTTTTTTTTTTCTTTTCTCTTGTTGTTTTCTTCATAGAACTTACCATAAATTGTGGTTAATTTAATTTTTGTTCCTTTGCTTGCTTGTGTTTTGCCTGTGTCTCTTACTAGATGTCGCTTCCATGAGACCAGAGCCATGTCTGTGTAATTCTCCTTTTTATCCCCAGTGCCTAGCAGAATGCCTGGCACCTAAATGGTCTCAATGAATACTTGCTGAAGGAATGAAGTTCATAAAAAAAGATCATGAAGTGCTTGCTTCGGCAGTACACATACTAAAATCGGAACGATATGGAGAAGATGAGCATGGCCCTGCGCAAGGACGATGTGCAAATTCATGAAGCATTCCATATTTTTACACTGTGTGCCTGTATCTAAACAGCTCATGTACCCCATAAATATATACACCTACTATGTACTCACAAAAATTAAAAATAAAAATAAATAAGAAAAAACAAGAAAAGGAAGGGGCGTGCCCTCTATTAACCCGTGAGGAGGGGGTGAGACGAGACCAGAGGTGAGAGTAAGCAGTGAGGGGAATCTTGTGCTTTTTACTCTATACAAACCATTTTTTTTTTTTTTTTTTGAGACAGAGTTTCACTCTTGTTGCCCAGGCTGGAGTGCGATGGTGCGATCCTGGCTCACTGCAACCTCCCCTTCCTGGGTTCAAGAAATTCTCCTGCCCCAGCCTCCTGAGTAGCTGGGATTACATGCGCTTGCCACCATGCCTAGCTAATTTTTGTACTTTTAGTAGAGATGGGGTTTCTCCATGTTGGTAGGCTGGTCTCAAACTCCTGACCTCAGGTGATCCTCCAGCCTCGGCCTCCAAAAGTGCTGTGATTATAGGTGTGAGCCACCATGCCTGGTTTTTTGTTTTGTTTTGTTTTGTTTTGTTTGAGACAGAGTCTCACTCTCTTGCCCAAGCTGGAATGCAGTGGCACAATCTTGTCTCACTGCAACCTCCTCCGCCCAGGTTCGAGCAATTCTCATGCCTCAGCCTCTGGAGTAGCTGGGACTACAGGCACATTGCACCACAACTGCTAATTTTTGTATTTTTAGTAGAGAAGGGGTTTCTCCATGTTGGTCAGGCTGGTCTCAAACTCCTGACCTCAAGTTATCTGCCCACCTCAGCCTCCCAAAGTGCTGGGATTACAGGTGTGAGCCACCGTGCCTGGCCACGAACTTGCTTTTTTAAAAAACCTAAAGAATCTATTCCTTTACAACTTAAAAAATAATTAAAAAGACAAGAAAAAGGACTTCCCATTGAAAGTTGCCAGTCACCCAAGTAATGCAAATTAAAACAATGAGCTATTGTTTGCTTATTAAAATAGTGAACCTTGTTTTTAAAAAGAAGCTACTGGATGCTGTTTAGTTGTGTGGTAAAATAAAAGCTCGCAGGCACAGCTGGTGCTGCTGATTTCAGCTGCTGCAGCCACATAAAGACTCATGTGGGAGTCAGTCAGCCCACACCTGGGCATGCTACAGAAATGATCTGAGAGGAAGGAAGAGCTATATGCACAAAGATACTCATTTCAACATGTGTTTAAAAACCAAATAATAGAATTGTCCGAATGGCCCAACAGCAGGGGATTGGGTAAATATGTTAGGACACATATATCAAAAATGATGCTTATGTCATAATACTAAGTAAAAAAAAACAAAAGAACAAAAATGGCTACAGCACAGTTTGGTTGCTACAATAGCAATTACGTAAACTCTCTCTCTTTCCCTCTTTTTTTTTTTTTTTTTTTTTTAAAGACAGGGTCTTGCTCTGTTGCCCAGGCTGGAGTGCAGTGATATAATCCTAGCTCACTACAGCCTCAAACTCCTGGGCTCAAGCCATCTTCCTGCCTCAGCCTCCCAAGTAGCTGGGACTACAGGCATGCACCACTATACTCTGCAATTTTTAAAATTTTTAGTAAAGACAGGGGCTCACTCTGTTGCCCAGGCTAGTCTTGAACTCCTGGCCTCAAGTGATCCTCCCACCTTGACCTCCCAAAGTGCTGGGAATACAGGCAGGAGCCACTGCACCTGCCTGAACTCTCTCTTAAAAAGAATGGAAGAAAATGTAAGAAACAACAATAACAATTATCTGGAATGGTGAGATTATAGGTAATTTTTTCATTCTCAATAATGTTACTATTCTTTTAGAAAGGTTAATTTTATAGAGCTTTTATAATTTTTTAAAATAAATTTTAACAGAAAGAGCCAACCCCTGCACTGAATCCATCATATTAACAGTGAAGGTGAGGCTGGGCACGGTGGCGCACACCTGTAATCCCAGCACTTTGGGAGGCCAAGGCAGGTGGATCATTTGAGGTCAGGAGTTCAAGACCAGCTTAGCCAACATGGTGAACCCCGTCTCTACTAAAAATACAAAAATTAGTTGGGCGTGGTGGCAGGCATCTGTAGTCTAAGCTACTTGGGAGGCTGAGGCACGAGAATCATTCAAACCTGGGAGGTGGATGTTGCAGTGAGCTGAGAATGTGCCACTGCACTCCAGCCTGGATGACAAAGGGAGACTCCATCTCAAACAAAACAAAACAGTGAAGGTGTTAGTGAAGTCTCCTTATCTCACTCACTCTCCCAGCTCATCGGGTGCACATGTGTATGCCTTTGGAGTAGATATGGCAGGCATCTCACCCCGTTTTCCAACAGAAGAGGAAAGGTGCTGTGGCTGGCCCAAGGCCACAGTGAAAAATGACCCATCTAGAGCTAGGTTTCAGACATCCCAAACAATCCTCTCTCCCCGCACCTCAGCCTCCTAAGAGGCCTTGAGAAAGATGGCAGCGAAGCCCGAAGCTTTCTTGTCTTCCAGGACTACAGGATGTAGGAGGTGAAGCACCGCCTCAGTATGTCTCAGCCAGGCCCAGGGAGCAGGAGAGCAGCTGCCAGGGGCCCTCAGGAGTGGCTGTGCTGTGTCATCCCCCTGCCACAGGTAAGGGACTGGGAGGACTGGGACACTCACGGATATCCACTGCTTCCTGTTGCCGACCCACTCCTCGACCCCTGCCAGGCGGCGTTGCTTGTACTTGGAGAGTTCTTGATAGGCCACAAACTCATTCAGAAACAGCTTGATTCCGAGCAGCTCAGCTACCACTGGGCAGTCCTCCCACGCCACACCCATCAAGAAGGCTACAGGCCGCAGGATGTAGGAACAGATGACCTGAGGGCACAAGGGTATGACTGGCACTGAGGGCTGGGCCTGGGCTCTGCTAGGCCTCCAGCCACCACTCACTGCCCACCTGGGGCCATCCTCTCTACAGACTGAGTGTGGTGGCCAGAAACGCACCTGGAAGCTGAGCCCTTGGACGTCCACCATGTCTCCCAGCCAGGAGAGGGCAGCATTGATGAAGTCCAGCACAGCCAGGAATGCAATCAGGTTGGCAGCGATGTTGGCGACCACCTTCACGGAGATGGCGGCCCCAGTGCTGGCTGCTTCTATGAGGTTCTGAGCATCTCTGTTATTGTGATCAAGAATGATCATTACTGGCCTGTCTCCACAATCAGCAAGGGTCCCTATCCTATAGGCTCAAATAGGAACCCTGGAAGAGCATTTCAGAGCAGGAAAATCTAATTTTCCCTGAGACCCAGAGAGAAAAAGGGGCTGGTCAAAGCACTGGGATAAGATCCAGGTTCCTAGCGCTGAACTGTCCAAGATGGAAGCCATCAGCCACACGTGACAGGAGGCTGTCTGAATTGAGTTGTGCTGTACAAAATATAGACCAGATTCTGAGGATTTAGTACCAAAAAATGCAAAATATCTCAATAATTCTTATACTGGTTACATGTTGAAATGACAGTACTTTGGGGTATACAGGGTTAAGTAAAATGGGTTATTAAAATCACCCATTTCTTTTCACTTTTTAAAAGACAACTACTAGAAAATAACAGGCAGCTCACATTACATTTCCATGGGACAGTGCCGCTCCAGTGCCTCAGAAGGTTGTGAGGTTGGGGTCGTCCACTGTGCCCAAGCAAATGTGTCCAATGTGGTGCCTTTTCAACATTGTTTAAGGTTTAAAGGTTACCTAACAGTTATTAAGACTATGACAGGATGTTAGGAGGTGAGTGAAATCAAAGATGGCACTCAGAATGTCAATGTGTGGTTGACACCCTGGTGGTCAGAGCTCAGGCACATAGAGATGGGGGCATGGGGCCTTTCTATGACTCTCCTCAACATGTACACACACCAGGCCACAGACCCAAGAACCAGGCCACACCCCCGAGCCTTGCCCAGTCCATTGTTTCCTGCTGGTCAGAGACAGGAAATTAAGATATGAGAACTGGAGTGTGCATTTTTGCAAATGCTATGGTCTGAATGCCAGTGTGGCAGTATTATGAGGTGGGACATTTAAGGGGTGATTGGGTCATGAGGGCTCTGCCTTCCTGAATGGATTAATCCATTCCTGAATGTTGGATTAATGGATTAATGGGATAATGGGTTATCATGGGAGTAGGACTGGTTGCTTTTTGTTTTTGGGACGGAGTTTTGCTCTGTTGCCCAGGCTGGAGTGCAGTGGTGCGATCTAGGCTCGCTGCAACTCCACTTCCTGGATTCAAGCAATTCTCATGCCTCAGCCCCCCAAGTGGCTGGAATTACAGGTGTGAGCCTCATGCCCGGCTAACTTTTGTATTTTTAGTAGAGATGGGGTTTTACCATGTTGGCCAGGCTGGTCTCGAACTCCTGACTTTAAGTGATTTGCCTGCCTCAGCCTCCCAAAGTGCTGGGATTACAGGCATGAACCATCGCAACTGGCCTTGACTTGTGGCTTCTTAAGAAAAGGAAGAGAGATCTGAGCTAGCATGCTCAGTTCCCTGCCTGGCACCCCTCAACCCCTCGCCATGTGATGCCCTATGCCACCTTGGGACTCTGCAGAATGCCCAGCAGCAAGAAGGCTCTCGCCAGATACGACCCCTCAACCTTGGACTTCTCAGCCTCCACAGCTGTAAGAAATAAATTCTTATTCTTTATAACTTACCTAGTTTCAGGTATTCTGTTATAAGCAACAGAAAATGGACTAAAATAGCAAATGAAGCCAAAACCAGGGCAGGGAAAGTGGAGAGATGGGCCTGGGCTGGTGAAAGACAGTGAAGGACAGAGAGAAGAGTACCCTCTGCTTTGCTCCCCCAACCTTGTACAACTACCCCCTCTGCAGGACCTCCTGCTGTGCTCACCCATAGGTCAGTTTCATTCCTTCCTCCCTCCTAAACTTGGACTCTTCCACCTCCGGGTAGACCAGCTTGGAGAGGGCCAAAGCACAAGGGGCAGCCATCACGGAGGCTGCAATCAACGAGGTGGCATCGATCTGCAAGAGTGAGAGTGTGGGTTCTAGGTGGACAGTCAGAAGAAATGC